CAAGGCAGGAGGATTGGTTGAGACCGTGGGGGTAATGTTTCCATCATCGACTCATATATTATGTCTTTGGCATATGGATAGGAATGTGAGAGCAAAGTGTCTAGCGGAGGTGCGAAGGACGACTCATTGTGGTATAGATGCAGCCAAACCGACAGTGGATCATATCATGGCGTCTTGGCAACGTGCTGTATATGCATTGACAGTGGAAGACATGGATACTGCCTTAGATAATTTCAGACGTAGTTGGGGAGTACAGTACCGACGTCTTTGAAGGTATATGACAGCTGAGTGGTTACCAGTTAGACACATGTGGGCTAAATGTTATACCAATCAACTGCGGCATTTGGGTAACACAAGCTCTAATAGGGTTGAAGCTGCCCATTCTTCCTTCAAGAAGTGGCTTCAATCATCTACTGGTGCAGTCGACACGGTTAGTCTCCTAATAAATCTTCATTGATACACACATAAGTTTTAGTAGTCTCCTAATTGTTCTTCATTGTCTGTAGGTATTCAAGAAGAACGATGATTACATTGATGCTCAACACTTTCAAATCAGGAAGCTTCTAGAGGATTCCCGACAAAAGAAGCTGCTCCGAGCGGATGGAAAACCATTTCGAGAGTTGAATACGAAAGTCACTCTAGAAGCTCTGAGGTTGATGTTGTTCAAGGTAGCAGTGGAAGGGGAACCTTGTACATGTACGTTTCCTCCTACCTATGGTCTCCCATGTAGATGTTCCATTCAGTTAGCACGACGTGAAAATCGGGATTTCGCCTTGTATGAGGTGTTGTCATTCTGGACCGTTATCAACTATCGTGAACCTCCTACTCGCCCGGAGTGGGATGACCATAGTGATTACCACCGTGGTGTGTTCCAAGGTCTAGTACAGGAGGTTCTTGATAGAGGTGACGAGACCATTCGAGGTGCAATCGGTCTACTCCGGAGCCATCTTCATCCTGAAAACGATGGCATTGATGAACCGCATGGGGGACAGCCCCGCCCCGGTCGCCCAAGGACGTCCACCACTCGAAACCTATCTCACTTCGAGCATGTGGAGAGGAGACGAGGGAGGAGAAGTTCAAGACTTCCGACTGCAACTCCGGACAATGATGGAAATACAGGTAAATTAACTTTTTCTATTAGTTGTGTTCAATTGTCCTCAATATGGTGTACAACTAATCTATTTTTTTAAATGAGATAGTTGGTGCTCCGAATGTGAATGCACAAACCAACTTAGAGAATGAGACGGAGCCGATGATCCATAATGATACAGATTAGAAATTATATTCCTAATTTCGGGTAAACATATTGTATAACTCTTTGTATTAATTTATTGTGTTATGCTCTTTTGCTAGATAGTGCCCCGTGGAGGGTTGCTCGGATTCCCAATACTAGTTGGAAGAATTACCCATGGCTACATTGTTTGGAATCCTACTTTCAACGACTAGTTCGTGGTTGGTTCAACCCTATTCCAGATGGACACTGTGGATTTCGAGCTATATCACAAGCAATTACTGGGGAACAAAGGAATTGGCCACAAATGAGACGCGCTGTTGTAGAGGAGCTTGAATCCCGTCCTGAGCTTTATAGAGAGTACTATGATGGAATAGCAAATGGAATAGAAAATGGCATTCGACGTTGCAGGTGGGCATCAACAAGTGGCTGTGGACCTCCCAACTGGATGGATAATGTGGAACTCTTCATCTTCGCCACCTTGCATTCATGGGCTATCGTTGTATACAGTCAAGGCGGTCGTTATACCGTGCTACCTGTGACGGCCCCACCAGGAGTAACAAGACCACGTGGGATCTTATCACTATATTTTACGGGGGATCATTGGGTGCGACTTGACTTTCGACATGGTCAAGTGCCCATGCCTCCAATTAATGGCCTTTGGCCTATTTTTCATGACCCTAGTGTCAATGGGTGGGATCAATTCTTCTTACATGAGCGTGCGCTTTATGATAGATTGAACCCACGGGGATGACGATTGGAAGTATATTTACGAATTGTATAACTCTCTATTGTTGAAACATTTAGTAATCTACCATGTTGATTAACTATTTTAGCAATGCATTGAATGTAACTAAAGTAAAAAAGACACAATCGTCTCAATTCAACTACAAACGGTGACAAATAAAACACACAATAGTCTCAGTTCAACTACAAACGATGACAAATAAAAAGCACAATAGTCTCAGTTCAACTACAAACGATGACAAATAAAAAGCACAATAGTCTCAGTTCAACTACAAACGATGACAAATAAAAAACACAATCGTCTACTGAGGCGGCTGCCCTACCAGCTGGTCGTACAACTCGTGAACCCCAGCTACCATATCATAGAACTTACCACCGTCCTCCTCCCACTTACTCCGGTCCCTCGTCAGCAACACGGGACCTAAACGATCCACAATATGCTCTCTCAACTGTAAATAGAAAACAATGTTAGAATAAATAACAAATGTCCTTTATATTTGAAAAAGCAAAAGAAAGTCATAACTAACCTGATGAACTAGTAGTGGTCGAGGCTGAGGCACCCCATCAGTGGGGTGGGTGATCCGTGGGTGCAATCTAGTCAGAAATCAGTCAACGAACTCCTCCACGATCTCCGATGGCTGCTCGCACGGCCGAGAAGCAAAATTCTAATCTAGACGATGGGCTGCCACGTTATCCCACAACTGATTCACCCACGGATCCCGAAAGACTATGTAACTGCTGCTGGAAGCCGGACGGTACTGGTCATGTGGTACCGTCATAGCACGGGGGATAATCTGTCGGTATCCAAACTGGCGCAGACAACGTGCAGGATCGTATCCCTCAGCAATGTCAGAAAAGTGAATGGGGCCAGTATACAAGGAGCGAGGTATATCTGTGTGGCCATCTCGTCCGTACGGAGTCCAGGTCACATCATCAGCTGAAAGCTCATCCAACAACTGTCGATAACGTGCTAACCTCTGTCTAGCCTCATCCCCACCTCGCAAACGGGGAGAAATCCACGAGGAAGCACGAGGTGCATCCGGAGACTGCGGCAGCTGGCTCGGACGGAATAGAGGAAAGTACTCATATATCCAAGCCTGAAGCAGGGTCAAACAACCACAAAGACTCTTACTACCCGCTCGTGTGGCCACTCCCAACTGTCTGTAGAGATAGGCTAGTGCACCAGCTCCCCAAGCGTAATCAGTCAATCGTCGATGATCCTTCAGAAACAAGTTGATCGCAGGACGAAGGCGATCACGACTCTTATCCACAAAAAGCGTGGATCCCAGTAACACAAATAGGTAACACTGCACCTCCATCTCCTTAATCTTCAGCTCTCCCCCACGCACCAACAATCCCTCTGCATGCATAGCACCATTATCGTACCACTTAGACTTCCACTTCCCACCAACCTGAGCATCCACCGAAAGTCGAACTAGACCACCCATGTCTGACTTAAGAGTATCCGGCGACGCCTCATCTCCCATCAGCTCTCCGTCAATCGGTATCCGGAGAATGTGATGCACATCGTGTAGAAGGATCAAAATCTCTCCAAACGGCATGTGGAAGGTGTTTGTGTCCGGCCGCCACCTCTCCACAAATGCCGACAGTAGAGCCATGTCTAAATGCTGCATCATGCACCCTGTCAACTGAGACAATCCTGTGGCTTCAACCATCTCCTTGGAACCCTCTGCACTCCACTTATATCGCCTCAACGTCTCTACAGCTTTCGGCTTATGGAAGCCGTGTAACACTCCACGGTCCTGCTCAGGGGAAGTCCACAGTACAAAACCAATGTGACCTCCAAAGCTAGGGATCACATCGGGAATCACTGGTCGCCGTAAGTCTACAAGCACGACCTTCCATTCTCTCCTTATTTCTCGCCTTAATCATATCCGGTTTACCCATTCCATGTCCAGACATCTTCAAAAAAAAGTTTGAATTATTAATAATGGATTATTAATAATAGAGTACATAAAGTAATTAATTTAAGATTTTCATAATTAAAATTGTAAAACTAATAGTTTGAACATTTATGTTACGTTCTATGTAATAATTATTTACATAAAAGTAAATAAATAATCAAGGTAAAATTATTAATAATTAAGTAGATAAACGAATTACTTTGAAATTTTGATTATTAAAATGATAAAATACATTTTTATTTTTTTATAATTTTCTTTAAATTTGTTATCATTAATTAACATTTATCGAATACGTTTTTAAAATTTGTATATCATTATTGACAAAATATATAACTAAATTATTTTTATTAAGTATATTTTTTTAATTATTTTTATTATTATTAATATTTATTGAATAATAAAAAGACAGAATATTAAAAAAAAAGGTCAACCGGGTCAACGCGCGGTCTGACCGACGGCTGACCGCGGTCAACGCGCGGTCGGACCGACGGCTGACCGCGGTTGACCGTCGCCGCGGTCAGCCGTCGGTCCGACCGCGGTCAGCCGTCGGTCGAACCGCGCGTTGACCACGGTCATCCGTCGGTCAAACCGCGCGTTGATCGCCATCAGTCGTCGGTCTAACCGGGGGGCCAATTCGGTACCTTCTCCGGCGGTCTTCTCCGGTGACGACGTGAGCGGTGAGGACGCGACTGGCGGGCGGTGGCGGCGACTGGCGGGAGGCGGTGAGTGGCGGGCGGCGGCGAGTGGCGGGACTGGCGGGCGAGATCGGCGGCGGCGTGATAGGTCGGCGGTCGGTCGCGGTGAGTTTCAGTTTCTGAGAGAGTTTTTTTTTTTTTTTTTGAAAGGGCGGGTGAGAGGAGTTGAGGGGTGAGGGGAATGAATTTGAATTGCTGAGTATTTGTTTGTTTAAGTCAATTTTGAGTTTTTGTTTAAGGGTATATAAGTAATTTTACATTTAAGTTAGCGCGATGTTTAGCAATTCTTAGAACGACATTTAGTTTTTGTTTAATTAAACAGCCAGCCAACAATTCTTAGAACGACATTTAGTTTTTGTTTAATTAAACAGCCAGCCAACGCCACTCTTCTCCTACGGAGGACTCTACTTCCTCCTGCGGCCGGAAGCAAAATTTTCTCACTCCGCTTTCAGCACTGGAAACCAGAAAGCAGCTGGAAAAAGAAATTCAGCCGGTAGACGCCATTTGTGGAGGATACTCTCTTATCTCTCTCAATTGTAAACTTTAGTATACATAATTTCCCTCCTTCTCTCGTAATGTCTTCTCGAAAACCAATTAGGCGTAGTATACTGTAGAGCAATTGCTCGGTCGGTGGTGGTTGTTCTGTTCGAATAGAAATGTATCGTTGCGCTAATCTTCTGGCACCGGCTTCTTTCGCCGGCTAGCATTTATCGAAACATCGAATTCAAAGCGTTGTGTTTTTGCAGGGGGTTTCACCGGCCGAACATCGGAGGAAGCGTATGGCAGCAACGGCTCCATCGCCGTTGTCGAACCTGCCGCGAAATGTTGCTAAACTTCATTCTGTACAGCGCCTGAAATCGGGAAGTGCAATTACGCAGCTCTCCTTCTCCTCCAGCGGAGCTCTCGGTAGGGATTACAGGATTACGATTCTTCCTCTCCAATTTTCCACCTGTCGAGTTACTGAGCCGTATTTGATCAGCAGTTTCGAGTGAGTGAACTCAAGCTGAAGCATTCATTTCTTAACCTAGGTTTACTGCTTCGTTCCAATTGGTTGAATACGTTCGCCATTAGATGAGATTAGGGTTTAGTGTGACCGGTGCAGGGTATGGCAGATTAGGAGCAGCATCAATGATAGTAGCTTCGGTTCTCCTTCGGATGGCAGTAGTGGTGGAACACGGTTAATTAGGGCAATTCGTGCTCTGCAGACGCGGATTGGGCTGAGAATCCAGGAGCTGAGGAAGAATCTGCCTATGAAATTGCTGTTTTTCTTGGTTGGTTTCTACTGTGCCACTGCTTTTGCTACTGTGATCGGCCAGACTGGTGACTGGGACATTCTATCTGCTTGTCTGGCTGTGGTGATTGTGGAAGCCATTGGAGCACTCATGTACAAGGGTTCTTTGCGCCTGCTCAGCAACATCAAGAGCTTGATCACAATGTTCAACTATTGGAAGGTTGGTCTCTCTCTCTTGGACTCTTCTTGGATTCGTTTAAATACGAAGTTGGCGATCTGATAAGCTTCGATATCGATAGCCTTTTCCCAGTTCCATCCGATATATTCCTCTTCTTTTTGTGATACTGTTCAAAGGGTTAGCACAAGATTTTGGTTTCCTCGGGCATCACTTGAATTTGAAATTGTTGTGGGATGATCCCAAAGGAGGGAGGATATAACCTCCTCACTGAACAGATCTTTTGGGAATCTCACCTTGTATCGAGCCAAGACTCTTGGAGATAGTCTTTCTGAAAATTGGATCGAATTTGGCCCTAGACGTCGTAAGAGCTTGGTCAAGACAACTGTATTGTTCGATCAGGCAGCTATCCTTTCTGAATCAGGAGAAAGCTTCTCTAAGATGAGGCATGAATGATTGTGAATTTGATTTTGGTGCAGCTTTTCAGAAACTGTTGCACCTTCATTGATAGAGCCCAGAGTTGGAAGACATGTAAATAATATATGCTTAGGACAGAAGAGAACAGGTTCTCCTTTTAATTGGACCAGAAGGAGAAGTAGCTTTTCCTGTGCATTCTTTTATATGTATCAAAATCGAACAACAATGAACGCACAAATGCAGTAGGGTAAATATAATGATGTGTACACCTGGAGAGGTGTTCTTCTTTGGATATCATTTAAGCTTTCTTTATGTGTCTACAAGACTACTGAAATGGCTAACATAGGCATATATATTCTATCATTACAAGGGTTTAACACTGAAGACCAGAGGTATACAGATTCATTCTACACTCAAACTACGAAGTCTTCTGCATAACATAATACAATACTTCTTTTTTCTTTTGGTAGAAAAATAATAACATACTTACATATTAATGCCGATAAACTGTGATTGAATGAATGATTTCATTTGTCATGAATCCATATCAGGTCCAGGATAAGCTGGAAGACTCATAATTCGCTTGTCCAAAACAGGACCTCCAACAGTGAAATGATACAGACTCTGGAATCTCGACCCTCTTAATCCGAGTAGCTCATGGACTGCCAAACAAACAAGAAAAAAGAACAGCATCAACAGCAAAAGAGTGTCAGTCAGTGGCGGCAGATACCGAAAATTCGAGGCGAAAGAAGGAAAGCATTATATGCTTTACCAGGATCATCGAAGAAGCAGCCAATTCCAGTAGCAGAGACGCCAACTGCATGTGCTTCCAGGTACAGAACTTGTCCTAACACTCCAGTTTCCCAGAACAATCGAGGGTACATCCATGCACCCTTGCCTCGCAATGCAGGCTCGAAACGCGCCACCATTCCAAGGCTAAAGCAGCCATCGCTGGCAATATCCTGCATCCAAAAATTAAACTGTTAGTTTCGCTCCTAGGAATTCTACACTAATCCCCCCAGATTCACTTGACAAAACACCTGGTGGCATGAAAGTGCTTTGGAAATCTGCTGGCAATCTCCTCTACCAAGTTCGTACAAGGGCAAATCATCAGGACATCCCTCTGGTTTCTCCCACTTGAAGTCGGGTCTAGTGGCTTTCTTCAGCTCGTCCAAATGATCCTCATTCCTCACCAGGAAATACAGTCCCTTAGGCAACCCACCCACCCGATGAACGAACAAGGCTGCGTGCACCTCGGCATCCCACGAGAGAGCACGAAATGGCAATGCCGATTGCTTCTTCTGTCGTCGCTGCTGCTTCCCTCCGCTTCCAGAGCCAGAAGGAATGCAGTGCAACATGATCTGGTAAAAAGTGTTCTTATCTATCTCAGTAACCCCATCCATGTCAACTGCGCTCCTCCTCTTCCTAACAATTTCCTTCACTGTAAACCCCTTGTAGGAACTTGCACTGAAAACTCCACTCCCTTGAAATGGTTCAATATTGGAGAATCCAGCTTCTTCAAGTGATGACTGCTTCTTAACGGCCTCTGCCGTTCTGTAAATGACATCCCAACACACATGCTCCTTACTCAGCGAATTCGGGGTTCCCGTCCAATCCAAGCTGTCAAATCTCATAGCTGCAGCGCACAGTTCTTGATAGTTCACATTCAAGTCACAGAGCTCACCAGGAAAGACGAGAAGCACGCAATCCGGATGCTCGAACTCGATATCCGGAATCCTGCCTTTCATCGGTTTATCAGGAATTGGGAAGTCCTGATATGGGTGAAGCCCCATGAGCCTCTCCAGCTCCTCAAACCCTAACCCATCCAGCAATTTCACGTCCCAACCGAGCTCAGCGGCGGCAATGGAGATCGCAGCGATCGCATGACCAACGTCATGGTTGCAGTATCGAAACGCCCGCTCCCCGTACTTCCAAGCCTCTCGCCAGAAAATCGAAGAGATCCCGACCATAAACGAACCCTCGGGGAGCAAATTCCTTGGGAAGAAATCGGACGGGATGGAAGCTCTGACCTCCAGAGAATGCTCCTTGGGAGCATAGTGCGCAACGAAAGCAGAATCTGATAGGGTTTCGATCGGCGGGGCGATGAGGTAGGTTTCCGTCGGGTGCAAATTGCCGCTGCTCGGGTTGACCCGGAGGGACCAGGTCGATGACCCGATGGTTTTCCAGGCGGAGAGGGCGAGGGAATGGTAGAAGAGCTGGGAGATGGAGGATTTGGAGAGGGATCGGGGTGGGGAAGGGAGTGATTCGAAGATGGACTGATACAGAGGAGAAGAAGAAGAATCCTCGCCGCCGAGAGGAAGGAGTGGGACGGAAGGGTACCGGCGAAATGGGTTGGGTTGGTTCGCCCAGTCGAGGCCGTGAGGCCCTCTGGCGTACTTATGCATCGAGTGCTTAGTCTGGTTGTGGTAAGTCAGGACTTGGCTGAGCTTTCCCGGGTCCGCCTCCGGTATTACCGTCGCCGGCGGCGGCGGAGTCGAGTGGGGAGAAGAAGAGAAGGACATGACGGCGGCGGCGGCGGCGGCGGAGCGAGGAACGGATGTAGGCGTCGAGCGGCGGAAGAAGGAAGGAGAGGAGGCGGTGAGCAAACGGGACGGCAAATGGTGCGGTGACGGTGGCATATCTTTTTCCCGGCCGTATCGGTCCTTGCCCTCCGGGTCCGCCTCTTCTCAACGAACGGGCTGGTTGGTTCTAGAGTTCGCTTTGCCGACTGAGGATTCTGGGGACAAAAACCCACGTGGAGGGTGTGGGCGAGGAATTGTTGGGCTGGTATATGATCGAACTCTGATGGGCCTAAATTATGAGCGGACTCGTGGTGCAGACTATTGGTGGGCCTGGAGATATCATCTGCATCTTCTGTTTCTTCTATTAGCTTGTTTATATGTGATAAGTATTAGGGATGGCAGGTCGCGGGTATCCGACCGTCCCCGATCCAGTCAATGCGGGTAATCCCCACTTTGACTGGGTATGGGGCGGGTATGGATAAAACTCGTAAAAAGTTTGATGGGTATGGGGCGGGTATGGTTTTAGCCTCCCCGCCCCATACCCATACCCATATCCGCCTCACCAAGAGAATTTCTTCACATATACAAAATCTGTAGATCAAATTGTAATCTATCAATGATGATGAGGATAACTCGAGGAAATAAATAGTAGAAATGCAATTGAGTGACCACCTTAATCAAAACCTAATTCATTTCCCTCAATTCTCCTTTCACTCTATCACTTTCCCCCTTGTCAACAAGATTATATTAGTTAATTATTTCTTAGTAGATGTATCAGAGTTAGAACATAATAATTTGAAAAATATTATACTCTATATTATGTATTAACGAATATTTTAGAATTATATTCTTTGAACCGTATTAAGAAAATTATCGTGTTTTGTTGAATTCGTGATATAATAGGTACGTTTAGAGTTGTAGTTAGAACTTTTCTTGTAAATTTTAGGATAATAATGTTGGATGTACGAGTACGGATATTACCCATGGGTACCCGAAATCCACGGGTATGGGGATGGGATTGCCAAATATTCCCCGCATGGGTATGGGGCGGGTATGTGTTTGAATATTTGAAGATGGGGATGGGGATGGTTTAGACAAACCCGCCCCATTGCCATCCCTAATAAGTACTAGGCATTCCTTAGAATGATGTATTTATATCTTCTCTTTTATTTTCAGGATTAATTCTTTTATCTTTTTTATTTCGATATTGTTGTAATTTTGATGAAGTATTGTGATATTTTTTTTATTTCTTATTTTTCTCCTCGTTCCTCTTCTTCTAACTTACTTATTATTTTTTTAGAGGGGTTTCGTCCATCTAGGCTAATTCTTGAATTAGTATAATTTGACTTAATTATTTTTAGAGGGGATTCTAAATGTATTAAAGGTTTAAATAAATTCTCTATTGTAATAGCTTCTTTGTCTTTGAATGTTAAACTATGATGACTATTAGTTAAGACATAATTTATCTGGTATATTACTGAAAATGGTTTGCTATTTTCCTTCATAATATTTTCTCTTTTCAATTCATATTTTATGTGGGTAAATTGCAAGTTTGGTCACTTGAATTACTAAAAAAGTTTCACGGTTGCCACTAAAATTAGTTTATTTCATTCATGGTCACTAAAACTAGTTCAATAGTTCAAGTTTGGTCACTCTCCGTTAGTCTCCATTAACTTTATCTGACGTGGCAGTCAACTTTGAGAGTTGACCGTTAAATAAATGACGTGGCAATTAAAAATCATAAGAAAATAAAATATTTTTTTTATATTTTAACCTCATATTTATAAATTACAATAAACTAGAACAAATAAAATAAAAAAAATAATTACTTTTTCTCATACACTCCGTCGCCGTCGCCAAATTATGCGGGTGGAGCTACATGATATCCGTAGGAGGATACTGGGTCGTCTCCAATACCGATTCCCTAAAAGCTATAAACTCCACTTTCTACACTCACTTCATTTGTGGTTACGCCACCATCAATTCATCCACCCACCACATCTCAATCTGTTTGAGCCTAGAATGTTCTAGGCGGTTTATGAAGAACGAGCAAAGCGCCTGTTCCAGAGAGCGGTGTACTCCAAGCTCCTGCAAAACAAGGGTCCATGGGCGGTCACCCAGGACACCCTCCAATGCTTAAATTAGAGAGAGAAGAGAGAAGTTTATGTTTATGTTTAGAGAGAGATGAAGTAGTTTATGTTTATGTTTATGTTTAGAGAGAGAGAGGAAGTAGTTGAGTTAACATCAATGCAGATATAAAGGTATTTATAGTCAGCCTTAAGCCCAACACCGCTCAACTATGGGCCCAACAATGGCCCTTTAGTCGTGAAAAGCTACAAGTTTTGGCGGCTACTAACTTTGCCAATGATAGTTGAGCGGTCCTCCCTGTAACCGCTACCTATACCTTGCCCCTGGCTGCCCAAGAGAGGAAGATTTTCCAGTTAGTGTCTCGATACTCTTCCATTGCAGAGACCGCCCTGTTCGCACTTGCATGTTCCTCTTTACTTCGTAATGTGTACTACCACCATTGCCCTTGCTTTGGTTCATCACTAGGCGCCTAGTAAATGCGAGCGGTTGCGCTGTCCACCTCTTCTTTGCTCAGCAAATAATCTAATGTGGTCCGCCATCATTGCCCTTGTGTTGGTCTCTGTCCACCCCTTTTTTAGCGCGTACATAATTTAATGTGGCCTACCATCATCTCCCTTGCGTTGTTTCCCTCCTGGCCGTCTAATAAATGAGCGGTTGCGCTTTCCTCCCCAAGACGATTACCTTCGTCTAGCGCGCGCCTCACGCGGTTTGCCTTGAATTGCCTATGTCGATTTCACTCCCGTGATTCTTCATACTGCCTGCATGCCACATCACGTGTCGGTTCTCGAGAGTTCGGCCCTAACAATGGGCAGCTCCCACGGCCAATCACCTGCCCGTGTTTTTTAATTTTGAGACTAGGGTTTTTTCTCGGTCACCCAACCGTCGCGTCGCTGCCCCTTTCCCTTTCTTCCTATTTATACCTTCCTTTCTTCTATCTTCTTCATTCTTCCTCTTTCGCAGACACCGCTCCGTCGCGTTTCTCCTGTTCTTCGCCAAAATTGCTCGTTGCTCCCGATTTTCCCTCTCTTCTTATTTGCGAGATAATCCCTCCTTATCTCCAGCACGACCAGAATTCCTCACCAAAATCAGGCGAATTCAGAAGCGAGCGAAAAGGAAACGACGACGACTGAAAATGGCGATTGAATCTCAAAGCACCACTCGTTCCGACAGTCAGAACCAGAACCTCTCCAGCGATGTCGGCGCCGTTACGACCTCCAGCGACGCCGCCGCCGATACGGCCTCCGGCGACGTTCGAACTTCCATCGTTGGAGCCACCGTTCCCTGCTCCTCCTCGAAGTCTGGTGGCGGCTCTGGTGGACCGCCTTCTGGGATTAAGCCGGCTATCCAGGTATTTTGCGTCTTCCTTTTCCTTTGCTACGTTCTCCTTAGGTTAGGTTTCTAGAATTGATTTTAGAGGGTTTCAAACGCGCGGTCCACTTAGCAAGCACTTAGGCAGTCTTCGTTATGACCTTTTAGGGGTAGAACCTGATCTCGCTCCTGTTGCGGGTATTTCTGCTGGATGGCGGGCAGCGTCTTCAACGGTTGGTGACAACCTGTGGGATTTCAGCTATTCGGAGGCGGAGAGCGAGCCCCCAAACATCGCGCCTCTGGTCACTCTTTCTTCAGACAGCGGGACTGGTGACCGCCCCGAGGCCGATGAGAGAGAGTTGTCACCGTCGTTGGCAGTGTCTGACGTGTTGCCTGTGGAGGCATTTCAAGTTCTCCACGACACTACCTATCGTGTTAGGCTACACGAAGACATGTGGGAGGGGGAGGCGGTTCCAACGAGTGCCTACGAACAGGGACCCCCTAACAAGGCTGCGTACAAGCCTCAACAGGTTCTTCGTCAGCTAAAGACTCATGGTCTTCCTACTGAGTGGGACTATGCGGCTCTCTCCCTTGTCGGGCGGTCCGGTTCATGTCCTGGGGGGTGGATTCCCATCCATGTGGAGCACATTCGGATGGGGTTTACTTTCCCCCTGGATCCCATCCTGACGCGGACGCTGCTCTTTCTGAATTGTGACCTGGGCCGCCTGTCGCCCGACATTATCTTCCACTCCATTGCTTTCCGAGCCTCCTGTGAGAAGATCGGGGAAACGCCCTCCTTTCACCTGCTATATAAAGTACGGGGCTCTGACAACTGTTGGTCCTACTACCGCCGAGAGACACGGGTTGGCTTAGTGAGTGGGGCGGCAAAGCTGGATTCTCCCTGGTTTAAAGAGTACTTCTTTGCTCGTCCCAAGGGCAAATGGTATTCTGGGGATGTTGAGCCGCCGAAGGGATTTGCGGTTGGCGACAAAAAAGATTGGAATACAGACGTTGACGCCCTCAAGCATTTCAAGCCGCTCTTAAAGCGGATTATGAGTGTTGTTCAGATTCACCTTCCTCCCAAGGGCGACGATAATGCCCTGGAGATTATTCGGTGCTTTTACAGTTAGTTCCTTTCCCCTTGTGTTGAATGCGCGTCTCATGTTCTTCACTTATGTATTCATTTCACAGGAACCCATCGTTATGCTTCTTCCGCTCGACCACCTAAACCGAGCAGCAGCGCTCCTTCTTCTCCGCTTCTTACGACTATCACTCAACTAGCGGCTCCTGCCGCACAACCTGCTTTGCCATCCCAGAAGCAGTTGGTGGCTAGCCGCACGGGAGTGATGAAGTTGTCGGAGCCAACTCTTACGAGAAGCTCCTCCAAGCGGTCATTGGATTTGACGACTTCGAAAGACAAGAGGTCCACCGCTAGCGAGGCCCGACTGAAGGGCGTCCTTGTCGAGAATCCGGCTACTCCCATTGATCCATACCTCGCGTCCAAGAGGCAGAAGAGGACCACCCTTGACACCTCCGTTTCCTTCTCTTCCCAAGCATCACTGTATCTTGTGGCCACCAAGCACGCTATGCACGTGATTGCTGAGGGGTTGGCGGTCCCCGATGACTACACCCACGTTGCGGGAACTCCCGTCCTGACATCGGACACCAGGCACTTGACGAGTGCAACCGCTTGATTCTTCGTTGCGGTACGCATGTGTTCCTTTGCCCCTACTACTTTTTTCAAACCTCATTTTGCTAACTTTGGTCTTTTGCAGACCCAATTTGGGTTAAATCAGATGATGTTGCACAATGACCACCTGTAGAGTGACCTAGACGTTAGGACTACCAATGTTCTCCAGCTGGAGGATCAGCTTAAGGAGGGCCGCAAGGGGGTGAAGGCGGAGGGGCGGGAGGAGGTTTTGAAGGAGCAGGAGTCTACT